ACTTTTGGAGTTTCCTCTTCGCCATATTCAGCTCTTAGAACAGTCATGCAATTAGCCGAAGAAGGAAAAGATACATTTCCTCTGGCTTCTAAAGCCTTAGCTTCTGATCTTTATATAGATGATATCGTATCTAGTATTCGAAACTTGCATGAAGTTAAGCAGCTTCAGTCGGAATTAATTGCACTCATGCGAAGAGGAGGTTTTGAACTTCGCAAATGGTCTGCCAATCATCCTTCACTTTTCGAAAATATTCCTCCTGAACATAGACAGCAGCAGTCTCTTATTTTCAATGCCGAAGAAATATCTTTTATAAAAATTCTAGATCTAAAATGGAACCCAGGTTGGGATTCGTTTTCGTACACAGTTGAATCTTTAGACCGTCCCTGTACAAAACGGACACTTTTGTCATCTGTGGCGCGAGTATTTGGTCCACTCGGTTTTTTGGCACCTTTGACATTTTTTATCAAACTTCTTATTCAGCATTTGTGGTCATTGGGACTGGACTGGGATCAATCTCCTTCTATTGACGTCCTCGTAAAATGGGAGCAATACAGAGCTGAACTTCCATTCATTTCAAATCTTTCAATAATTCGACCTTTATGTGACGAAACATTTTTGAAATGTGAGCTTCATGGCTTTGCTGATAGCAGCGAAAAAGGTTACGCTACCGTTATTTATTTTCGATATCTAAGTAAAAACGGCATTAAGGTAACTCTCGTGTGTGCAAAATTCAAAGTGGCACCACTTAAACGATTATCGCTTCCTCGCCTTGAACTATGTGCTGCAGTGCTGCTAACTAGATAACCAGCTTTATTCTAAAAACATATTCCTCCAAAATTCATTTTAACAAATTCACAGCGTGGTCTGATTCTACAACTGTCTTGGATTGGGTCAAATCATCTTCACATCGCTGGAAAACCTTTGTTTCAAATCGAGTGTCCTACATTCAAGATAAAATTTCCCCATCTTCTTGGCGACATGTCCGCTCCGAAGACAATCCGGCGGATCCTGGCTCCAGAGGATTGCTGCCATCTCAGCTTCTTGGCTGTTCCTTATGGTGGGCGGGGCCGATTTGGTTACAATAAAATGAAGAAACTTGGTTTGGCCACATAGTATTTCCAATCATAATTCTTCCCAAGCAGGTGATGAAAAACAAGCTATTTCTTCATTAGCTCTCACTTCATCTAATTATTTCAATAAACTTTTGCAGAATTTTTCGAGTTTACCTAAAATGCAGACCATTATTGCTCATTTTTTGCGATTTATTCATAATTTCAAATACCGTAATTCACCTGAAAACCAAAAATTAAACCATTTTTTTAATTTTGAACTGTATAAAGCTCTTATGGTTTTAGTCAGATATGTTCAAAATTCTGTATTTGCTAATGACATTCAAAATCTTAAAGAGTGCAAACCCGTTTCAAAATCTTTAAGAAAACTCAACCTCTTTCTTGAAGAAGATGGCATTCCCAGGGTGGGCGGTCGTTTGTTATTCTCTGGATTGTCGTATGACCAGAAACATCCTGCTCTTCTTCCCAACAAACACCGTTTAACATATCTAATTATTGAGGACACGCACAAAAAATATCTCCATCCAGGGCCTCAAACAATTCAATTTCTTTTAGCCCAAGAGTTTTGGATTTTGTGCTCTAGAAGGGCAATCTGTCAGTGTCTTAGCAAATGCCCTACTTGTTTTAAGATGAATCCAACTCCTCTTCAACCTTTCATGGGGAATTTACCATCTTTTAGGATCAACCAAGTTAAGCCATTCTCCATCGTTGGTGTAGATTATGGTGGGCCCTTTTCAATTGTTTTTAGTGAAGCACGTGGCGCAAAATCCAATGAGAGCTTATATATGCCTGTTTGTTTGTGCTGCCACAAAAGCTTTACACTTAGAGGTCACGTCAGATCTTACTATATAAACTTTCATCGCCGCTCTTCGACTGTAGTCAGTTATTTTCTGATAATGGAACTGCATTTGTTGGAGCTTATAGGGAGCTCAACAGACTTACGGAACAAGCCGCTTCAACTGAGCGCATCGAATGGTCATTTAACCCCCCGTCAGCACCTCATTTTGGCGGGCTTTTCGAGGCTGGCATCAAATCAGTAAAAAACTATCTTACTATCGAACTATTGGTTCCCAAATATTGAGTTATGAAAAGTTCTAAACCATTCTGTGTCAAGTTGACGCTATTCTAAATTCACGTCTTCTTTGTCCTCTTAGTAATGACCCAAACGATTTATCCGTTTTGACCCCGGGTCATTTTTTGACTCAGGTACCGCTTAATACTATTCCCGATCCAGACTTAATCATCTTAGTAGATGGCAGTTAGTGCAGCGCCTCACACGTGATATTTGAAAGCGCTGGCTGAAAGCGCTGACTCTTATTTGAATACGTTGGAACAACGAAATAAGTGGCTTACTAGTTTTCACAATGTCAGTCGGGATACTTTAGTTCTAATAAAAAATGAACCAGTTCCACCTCTTGAGTGGAAAATTGGTAGAATTGAAGAACTTTATCCAGGACACGATGGCGTTGCGCGTGTAGCTATAGTAAAGACTAACACGGGTTTATTGAAAAGGCCGCTGGTAAAGTTATGCCCTTTGCATGTGGTTTCTACATCGGACGAGATGTAAAATACTTCTCGTATTTTAGATGGGCGGAATGTTAATATTTCGCTCATATGTATATAAAGTTAAGTCAATATATGGGAAAAATATATATTACTATTCTTCAAGAATATTTTTTTTCATTTTGTTTCTTTATACAATTATTATTTCATTTCAAATTTTACTGGTCTAATCTGCTGCGATACCTTTCAAACAAAAAAAAATAGATGAAAACTGGTGCAGGAAAACAAAGTCCTTATCTCGTTGACTTGGCAGAGATAAAACGGTGAACGACAGGTCAACATATCTTCGATATTCTAAAATTCCTCAAAACCCTCAGTCGATCCGAAACCAATAAAATATTATTAAAATTGTGTTGTGCACATTACCCAATCGACCATAGAAAAGGCCTGGATTAGAAATTCGTCGTCGCCTAGGGATCCGCCCAGAAGAAAGGCGAGGTGAACAATTCTGACCCAGTTTTCCTTTTCTAATAATAATCGGTCAAATCGCGATTGGTTTTAAGGGTTGAAACCCTTGGATCAATCAGGTGAATAATCAAATTTTAATTTTTTTCTCAACATCTCTATGAGTTCACATATGCTTTTCATACGTATTTCGAAATTATTTCATCACACCTTATGCCTATTTGACATGTCGCCATGTCGTTCCTTTATTAATTTCAACATTGATACCCCTTTCATTTGCATTACATCAAAATCTGTCTGCGAAGACGTGAAAACTAGTGCCCTCTTGGCATCGTCTTCATCTTTTTTTTCTCTGTCGATGACTTCTATGCCCCTTCTCTTTTCATTTGATGTGCTGCATGTTGAGATTCAACAGTCATTAATGAAGATATGGCTTAATGCCTTCTTCTGACATGTTACGTCATCTTTGTTTTTTCTCTCGATGAATTCTGCATAAATTTACTCACAACGAAGTTGATGATAGTTGAAACTCAACGGATTATGATGGAATTGAACTTCAACGAAGTTGAATCAATTGATCGATATTTGATTCCTTCATTATGATTGTCTTACCATCGCCACTCTGTATCAGAAGTTAGCCTGAGTGTTCCACAAGGTTCCGTTCAGGAGCCTGAAAATTCGCAAAATGAATCTTCATATGACAAAGCGTGGACTTTATTCATTTCCTGATGTTGGTTAGCCGAACGCATTAAATGATAAATGACTGTCATATTGAAACACGACAAACGGTTACGACAATAACGATGAAACGATAACGAATAAACACACGCAAAATGAGTTACGTTCCTGAGTCCGGTCCTGCAACCTATAGTTGTACAAATTGCAATTCCAACATCTACCGGGATTTATGTATGCTGACTTGCTTTCTGCCGTGAATTATCTTTCGTACCGTAAATTATCTCATAGACATAGTGTTCTATTATTTGAATCATATTATAAATATAATATACAATTGATTCATATCTAGTTATCACCGCTACTGTAGATGTTTTCTAGTATTCTGTATGAAATATTCTTCCATCTTGTACTATCCGAGTTAAAGTGGGAACGCCGTAGGACGCAGAAATGATTATAGAATATAAATTGAAATACTCAAGGATGCAAAAAAGGTAGATCAATGTGACGGTATTTACAATATACAAGGATGCCGAAACGGTTGCATTATGTACGGATTCAGAAAAGATGGTATTATATAAATTTGCAGCAAATGCCATCAATTTTGGAGTTAGTTCAATATGAATCCATATATCATATGGATGAGGATCAGATTATCAGATGATACATCAAAGTGAGTTTTATTTGCCGCTTTGTCAGTCCGTGGTAAAAAAAAACTGACGTTACTGATTAGTTTTGCAGTGTAGTTGAGACTAAATGTCCGAACCTGGATAGCAATGAGAAACAGTGACGGTATAAAAAAATATCGTCAATTCTTTATCATGCCTTCTGTTACGGAATGTTTGGATATCGAAGAGGGAATGTGTCTGTATATAATTATATTTGTAGTTCTCTGGAGTAATTCTGGATTTAAACGCAATCAATTTCAGGAGTTTTCTCTGAACTTGTTCTAACTTTCAACAGCTAATTTTATCAAGGATAAAACACAAGCACTACAGGAAAATCCCTAAGGCTCTCTTAGAGCGGTGCCCGAGCGAAAGTAGACTTTCACGTTCTGTTAAAAAATAATGTTCCCAGTCCTCAAATAGCGTGTTAGTTAATAGCAGGGTATGTGTTAGCTAATGACCTTCCTTGTGATATTATTTTGAAGATTCAACCTACACCTCTTCATAGCTACGTTATAACTACTGGAAGCAAATCGTTCTTTTAGTGATAGTCCGATTATTCAAACATTTTTTCTCGAAAATTGATATTTAATTTGATAGTAAAATGCATTATTCATTCCAGGTTACAGCCAAACTTCCCGGAGTTCACAGTAACTTGGAAGTGTATATGTACCCACAAATAGGTAATATAGATATAGGGCATGCTTCAAATCAAATGGAAGGGTATCCATTACTCACGCCAATATCTCCTCCAGCAGACCATTCCACAATACAATATCCTCCCACGAATGGTCAGGGATATCCACTTCACCCTGCTTCACCTGGATTCGTTATTCCTCCGCCTGGAGAAGGTTGTATATATCCATCATCTGCTCCACTTACTCAGTCAGGTAAAAAGCTAAATTATATATTAACTAGTAGTTTTTTTTTTCTGAGGGGAACGCTCCTGCTCGAAGTGTGGGATTCCATGACTCTGTCACAGCCTACCCACTAAAACTCCTCTTCAGCATTCAAGTGGCTCAGTAGATGAACAAACTTGTTCCGAGCCTACTTCAAGGTCGAGCGTCGCTGGTAATTATTTCAGAGAGAAACTTTAGTGAGTGGAAGAGAGAACCGAGTGACGTCATCGACGCAGGATGGAACGGGTATCGTAGCGATTCAAGCGTGGACACCCTTGCCCTCGGCCCTCCTTAGTACTCCACATCACCGCTTAGGCCTTCTTGGTACTCCACCTAACCGTTCGCCCCCCTTGTCACGTTCCAGTCACGTGATTTTAATTAAAAAAAGTTTATAGTTATGAGATTCGAACCTGGATCGTCCGCGCCGTAGACATTGTCCTTAGCCTCTACACCATCGTAAGATATTGAAGTTAACTGCGAATGTTGGGTATTTATAGCGTTAGTTTTG